CGCAAGAACGTGTGCATGGGCCATATGTCAGGATTAACCAGTTTCTCACGTTCATTCAAAGGTATTATAATTTTGAAAGCCGTCGATTCCGTAGTTTGACTTTTCTCTACCAAAGGATCATCCGGATTTTTCTTACGGAGTACAGGAAAGCATTGTAGAAAAGCTATGTTGTTTTGTTTCAGATGGTCCTCAATAATATTTTTGTTGCATGTACTGACATTTCCGATATAATAGGTAATTTTTCCTCTATTATTTTCGAAGCTTTCAATGGACAGCTGATGCCAGTACCGTAGGTTTTCATTTGTTTTGAAGTTGGTTTTGACGCAGGTTTTGGGGATGCCAGTTGTGGAGAGGTTGACGTATATATATATATATCTTATGTATATATGTATATCTTATATATATATATATATAAGATGGCTATGATCCATTATCGATTTTGGCTCACTAGTGCAGTTGTTTTCACTATGAGGGATGACGTTGGCTAGAGTAGTATATTCGTAGTTTATTACTAGCGTTTTCGTTTGTTACTTGAACGTTATTTTTATAACTCTTTTCATAAGTATAAATAATATATTCCTATGTTACTTTTGTTGTTATTGTTAGTTGCGTTGTTGTTGTTACTGCTGATTTTTGTTTTTTGCGTTCTATTATTTTGTATACCATAGAATTTTTATACCCATTATTAGTGAGTAATTTAGTAACTCCATCTTGTTCTGTTCTCCTTCTTCCTACAGCAGAAAACTGCAGACTAGCAGAGATCGTGATCTTTAGATATGTCTGACAACATTTATTATTTCCGTTAAAACATAAACCTATTGTTTGTTGCTTTGGTGTATTTGTAACGAATATATCATCATTCTATCGGCAGTATATATAAGGCTTTTGTTCTGGTTCTTTTTTAAATAACTTTCTTCGATATGCCAGATGTAGATGTTGGCGAAGAGTACCCCCAATGGAGAGCCCATTGCTACACCGTCTATTTGCTGATATAATGTGTTACCCGGCCCATTAAAGGGCGCTTCGGCTGTAAATATTCGTAGCTGCGACTCCAATTCATCATTTTTGAATAGGTATTGGTGAATAAGTAGAATGGTATATTCTATCTAATATTATGTTAATTGTGTCTTCTACAGGACATTTGTAAATATATATATATATATATATATATATATATATATATATATATATATATATGTGTGTGTGTGTGTGTGTGTGTATGTATATATATTCCGTCTTTGTTTTTACAGCGACTTTGATTGTAACTTAATTAGAATTAAAGTTAATCATTTGTTTCTTTGTTGGAAAAATATTGGTATTATTTAATTGAATATTTATTGCTGGTTTACATTTATCGATGGAAATTGATTCTGCTATCTTCAATTTGAAGTATTCTCTGTTTTAATAAATTGCTTTATTGTTATTGTCTAACATTTCCCTTGTTATAATAGTGTTATGTTGTTCCATTAGGTGGTCTTTTATTGCTCCATGTTGCTTATGCATAGTGAATCTTCTCGTTAATGTTGTTGTAGTCATTCCGATGTATTCAGAATTTTGATGCACGCACTCAACATTTTTACATGTGAATGAATAAATCAAATGACTACTTTTCTTGTCCGAGGAAGGTTTAATGTTGGAATTGTTTTTTATTATTAGAGATGATGTTTTCCTGTTCGTGTAGGAAATTCTTAATGTTATTGAGCTGTTTGTATCTATGACTTTAACATTGTTCTTTATTATCTTTTTCATTATTTTTTCATCTGTTTTATATGATGAGGACATACTATTTTTATAATAAATTATGATGTTTTTTATATTGTTGTTATTGACTTTTGTAATTTCATTGTTAAGTTGTTGTTCTTTGCGGTGAATTATTTTCTTTATTTGTGATAGTTTGTATCCATTATTAATTAGGAGATTGGTTACTCGTTGGAGTTCTTTTTCTCTATCTTCGGCTTTTGATGAGTGAGTATACGCCCTGTTGACGAAGGCACTGATTGTACTGGTTAGGAATGTTTCAGTGCACTCACTAATCACATTGTTTGTTGGTTATGTGTTGACCGTGGTTATGATATATATATATATATATATATATATATATATATATATATATATATATATATATATATATATATATGCATGTATATAAGATCTAAGATCATTTGATATGAATCGGTTGATAGTTCCTGCTACAAATTTGTGTATTGGTTCACGAAGTCACGAAGCTTTGCTGTTTCAGGACCGACTATCTGGAATGGTCTGCCGGCTTCGCTCAGGGACATTGAGTTGACCATGACATGCTTCAGAAACTCAAAACATTTTTGTTTTCGTTACAGTGATATCTTAATTTTTGAATTGTTCTATAGTGTTTTTTTTTTGTAATTGTGTTGAATTGTTACAGTTTTTTGCAGTCAGACAATTATTTCTACGTTTAGCTTTATTTTAGTGAGGACATGTTTAATCTCATGTTTAATTTTGTGTTATTTTATATTTTGATGGCGCTTTTGAATTTTAACTAACTAGAGCTAGATAAATCTTTTGATAATAATAATAATATATATGTATATATATATTCAATCAAACAACAAATTAGCATGAATGAATCGGAGACCAAAAAATAAAAATTTATTCTGGTGGGCTCGGCCACCGTGCGACTTACAATAGCTTCTCAATGATAACACAACGAGAATACATTAGAAAAAGAATAAAATAAAATTTTCAATAGAAAAAAAAATGTATCAATGTTAATGAAATATATATATATATATATATATATATATATATATATATATATATATATATATATATATATATATATGGGGTTTAGACTATCATAAATACAATTATTCATAAAGATCACTGCGTTTTCGGCATTCAACTACAAGTTAAATAATGCCAAAAACATAATATATAATACTGTATATTATTATCCTTTAAAGACAAAACTATTCCTAATTAAAAATTGTTCAATTTAATTTTAAGTTTTAGCTTTGTTTCAAAGCGAACTTAAGACATATCTATTTCAGACACGTTTGCATTACTATCAATCTGACACATTGAGACGTATTTCTAAACAGAATTTCTAAACAATACAATAAGACAACAACAAAAATTGCAATGATATTGCAATAATATTTTCATTGCAATTTTTGTTGTTGTCTTATTGTATTGTTTAGAAATTCTGTTTTAAGTTAATTGATAAAAGCATTTGTGATATTATTTTTGTTTATTGAGCGCTGAATATAAACAATATTTATTATATTAATTCAGCTGCTTATCTTAAAGCGAATGCAAACGTCAAGAATATCTTTTTAAAATTTGAATGAACGTTGAACACAGGAAACGCTATCCAACATTTTCCATAAATAACGTACAATTAAGCAAGTTACAAAAACTGTAACTGATATCTGTCTGTATGAAGCAAGCTTCTGTATGACAATATTAGAAGTTATTTTTTTCGTGTGATTGTGATGAAGATGATGTTATGTGTGTGTGCGCTGTGGCGAATCTAGACAAGTTTGACGGGAGGGGAAGGGGGAATTTAAGAGATGATGAAATATTTACATGTTGAACAGAAGAGGCTAACGTTTGTGGAAATGTGGTCAAAATTAGAGTGACGACCTTTTTTCGTGTTTGTGCCTTATAATGTCAGTATTTTTTCCGTTAAAATAATGACTTTTATCGACTTTTAATACAAATACAAATCAATACGCCTCTGGATTCGCCATTCTGTACGTGTTTGTGTCTCAGTGTGTCTGTGTGTGTGAGTGTGTTTGTGAGTGTGTTTGTGTGCGTAGCGTGTACACAAAAATTGTGGGCATGTATGTACGTACGTGCGTGTGTTCTAAGAAGAGCGATAACATAATTTATTTTTATTTTTATGTTTTTATAATAATTTTTTCAAACTATGTTTCACATGACCAATTTGTTTATTTGTTGGTTTGTTCGTTATGAAGTTATTATATTGATGTTTTAATGTTCCTCAATGCAAAGCAATTTTACACCTCGTTGCACAATGTGGGCTTCGCTGTTAAAAAATAATTCGACTGCCGCCTAATTGGTTTTTGTTACGCCTCAGCGTGCATGCGCTCTGGCTATTGCAGATGCTTGCACGAAGACACTTCTTTGAAGTTATATTTTATTTAAAACTTGATGGAAAAACATTTTGAAGAGTGGTTAAAAAGTTAAAAAAAATTCCCGTATAAATTAATCCAAAAATTTGTTTAACAGTTTTTCTTGAATTTTGGAAACAGTTTCAATTTTGAAAAACTAAATAATATTTTTAGTTTAATTTTTGAAAACTGTTAGTTTGTTAATTATCAAAAAATATTTATACTATTATTTCATAGTCTTGTGGGAAAAATTTCAAAGCTACGAAGAAGAAAAGAAGCCAGTCCTAAGCGAAGATGAACCTCGATGGTCGATCCTATTAGCGGCATGCACGCCACAATTTTATTTTCCACTAAATTGCTGAACAGTTAACTGCCTGTGACGAGAGGTGATGGCACATTAAACGATAATGATGCACTCGCTACCTCCACACCATTTCATAATTATCATCTTTTTATTCATTTGTTCCAATAGTTATGCAAATGTTGTGGCATGAGTGTCACTTAATTTTATTAATATTTGACCGTTACACATGAAATTTACCAAACAAAAAACAATTTCTAATAATTTGAAAATTAGCGTAATTAAGAAAAACAATGAAACTCACGATACAAACGCTGGTACTGCATCTGCAAATGTAATAATTTATATTTCGTTAAATGTTGTCCACCACTGAAGGCACATAAAAAAATATGAAACTGACCAAATGTGTGATGCTTTTATTAGCACCCGGAAGTTTAACAATGCGTCCACCGAGCGGATCAGTGTTTGCAGTGCTCCTGTTGTACCAGGCCACTTCCGTCAAACTGCTCCCTCGGTCTGGGGAGCTGGAGTGCAGTTGACAGGTTGATGATTCTTGGTCGAAAGTAAATGCCTGACACCGCAGGTTGTGTTCTCGTGTTGAACACTCCAATGAACATTCGGCAATCGTTGTTGAGTTTGTAGCGAGAGACCATCTATCGTTGTAATTCGAGAGGTGTCCATCAAGAGTCACCACTGGGCAAAAGGTTATCGGTTTTATCTCATAGCTAAGTTGGCTCTCCGATCCGGATATGAAAATAAGAATCACCAAGTAGCACAAGCTCACTGACATCTTGCCTGCTTGATATTTTCAAAAAATGTTGCAGCTGAAAATCTCAGCAGTTTGTGTTATGTTAGAGTTTTGATTGGCAACAAATTTTTTTAATTTATATTTTTTAAAGATTTTTTGTCGACAAAAATGATGGTCTTTTGTTTAAACTGTTCATAAATGATTACTATATTTTATGCGAGCTGTAAAATCAGAAGTTATAGACATTTTTATGATTATTTATTTTATAAAATTAACATTTTTGGATTGCCTTGCTTCAACAGTTAATCTAACTATAAAAGATTCTCCTGAAAACATTTATAGCAGCAAAAAAGAAGGAAGCAAGGCACAGAATTTTTGTCTGACGTGTATAACTCTTGTGAGCAGGAATCAAAATATATAAAGGGGAAATGCAAAAGCTGAATACAAAACAGCGTGCATTGTCTTTCTTCAAACAATAGTCTATCATCTATTATTTATATAGCATACGCTTTGGAAATTTGAACTGATGATAGTTCAGCTACGTTTAATGTTATGAAGATGATGCAAATGCGAATGTTATATGAAAATGGTGCAGGTTATTTATTATAGTTGGAATGTTTGATGTCACGAGAAAGGCGCGTTTTGTTAGAAGTTAGATTTGTAATAACTTGATTTTTAAAAATGCTAACAACCAATTTATAGCATTAGTCTGCTTTTCGGATCTTTAATTATGAATATTTTTACTTGCATCTTACATTGTTGCTGATGAATATTTTTTTACAAAGGCAAATTCATAATTTAGCATTTATTTTAAGGCATAGAAAATAATATTTTTTAACATTTTCAAACTTCGATTTGATTATAAATAGATCACTCGAGCCTCATTTCGCATAATTTTGTAAGTAAAAAATTGATTTATAACATTGTACAAGATTTAAAGCAAAAATATTTTCATTGTCCCGATTGTAAAAATGAAATAGAAGAAAACAATTAAATGTTTGTGGGATGTTTGTTCAGTTGGTCGATTGTTCGGTAGCACGCACGGTTGGAAATCATGCGTCGTCATTGAACGAGCCAACTTTGTACTTGTGTGACGGTTTGTTCTCTACGAAATATTCCAGATCATCATCATCATCATCAATTTTATTTTAGACATTTGGTTGAGTAAACAATTCCTCAAAGTTTCTCAATTTATTTTACAATGAAAACATGTTGCTTTCTGTGCAAAATTGAAAGATAATAACAATGTTTCCAAACTGATTCAATAACTCATTAAAACAAATGCTCAAACCAGTAAAAATGCAATAGTAGTAAAAATGCAATAGTATTGACATTATATAGTTTTAATGAGAATCAAACAAATATTTTTGAATGAAAATAAAAAAAAATATTTTATCGATCACTTCTTTTCAACAAACAAAATTAATGTGCATGCATGAAAAAGAAAATTATGGACGTACAAAATTATTTTATTTTGCAATGTTTTTTATGCAAAAACATTTTTTTATTTTTGCATATGTTCACCAATCTATGCACTAACTTCTATACACACATACACAATGCAGCCGGTTAATCAAAGCACCGGTTATAGGAGAGAAATGAGATCAAATCTTATTTTTGAAAGCCGCTAAATGGAACTGCAAATGTGGCCACCACTATTAAATTGTAAAATGATTTGAATTTTTTCCGCTAGTATAATTTACATTTATTAAATACGTGGCGGTTTATTCTGGGAAGTGATATGGAAGCTTGTTTATGATGGATTGCATTGCATTGAGTTGTTTGGCATTCATAGTCCATCCAAGTTTTTTGTTTCAATGATGAGCATGGCCAGATGGAAGATGTTTACTCAGAATTAACATTTATTTCTTGAAAGATAATCGGGTTAAAAGTTAAAAGATTAACGCTTCAAGAATGGTAATAAAAATACTCAATTCTTATTAATGGTAAACTTTGGCTGCGAGTGCGCTAAATGTCACTCCCATGAACATTAACGACGTTGGAGCTTATTAATTTCAATAGGTACATTCCTTATATTCTTATTAGTATAACCAAATTTTAAAATTCCCAATATGTCGCAAAAAGTACAATAAAGATATGTTTAATTTTTAAGAACATTAGTTTAGTAGTAGGAATATTGAAGAATTTTAAAACCATTTTTGACAATGCAAATAGCAAACTAAAAACAGACCAAATTATGAGATGTTTAATTTTATTTCGAGAGGGCTTAGCCTCCCCCTGGCTAAGCTCATGCACTCGTGTGCCTAAAATGGAGTCAGTGAATCAATGCATGCCAGGGAAACTATTTTTAGTTTATTTTTCATGTTTAAATTTTTTAAAATTGTTTAAAAACGTACACGCATAGAAAATTTGTTTGCATTATACAAATTTTTAAAAAGATTGTGTGTGTATGATAATTTAAAAGTTCAAAAAAATCTTGAATATTGAAAATTTTACTTTGAAGCAACTATAAAAAATTTTAAGAATAAATATTTTTTTAAATTTTACAATTACAAACATTAAGCTTTTAACTCTAAGAAAGGTAAATAAAATACAAATGTAGATTGAAAAGCACGGAAGTCCATATTTTTTATTTTTAGTGTCAACATTTTTTTCTTCAGAAATGTTTCAACTATTTGTTGCAAGTTTTTTGTTAATTTTTCCGTTACCATGCAAATCCGTACAGTACCGAGAGAGGCAGGCGCCAAAAACCCGTCGGTACCTCCTTCTATCTACGGTGCCCCCTTCTATCTACGGTTCCCCCTCTATCTACGTTGTCTCCCTCTATCTACGATGCCTCCCTCTGTCTACGGTGCTCCCTCTATCTACGATGTTCTTTCAATCTTCAAATAATGTTGGCAATCTACGTATACATAACATAAATAAATTTAACAAACAGTTTGCGGTGGTGTTTTCTTACAAACTACTCTTTGCACTTTTGCGATTTTGGGCAAATCCGTTAAAAATATTTCAGTAATAGGTATTTGAAATGAAGAAATAATAAATTTTTAAGGTCTCCCATACTTGTTTTAACTCTCCATACATTCCGGCGCTCCCTACCAGTTAAAACATCGGCTAATCGATAAAGATGCATACTTTTTTATAGATACAATTTATTACAATGTACTGTCTTGACATTTTAAATGGAAAGAATTAGGAGGTTTCTAAATTCATGACTTCATTCATTCTGCAGATATATAAATGTACAATGCAAGCAATTTAAAATGATTATGCAACCCAAATGCAAAACAAGCTATGAGATTGTCCAGAAAATCGATTAAGGATTGAAGATGACATTTATTATGCACATGGCATATATTGAATGTTTATATTTAAAAAAAGTGATTCATAAAAAATAATTTTTAAATTCCTAAAAATTTAAAATTTTTTCATTATTACGATCAGAAAATTTGGTAAAGGCTTGAAGATAAACTGAAATACGAAAAAGTTATTTAGAAAATTGCTGTTAATTTTTACTAATATTATTATTATCATTATTGTTGTTGAATTGGGTTATAATTGTTTCCATTAATTTCTCTTATGTATTCAGTAATTTTTTAAACTTTAAAATCCGATCAATAAGTTTTAAAAATAGGCAAAGTTTTAGACTTCTTGTACTTCCGTGTATGACTTTGTAATGCATTGAAGCTAAAATGTTACAAATGTAACCAAATAAAAGAAGTTGGTAGGAAAACATTTATTTATTTAATCGGTAAAAATATACATTGGAAAAAATTGTTGAATAGAACGATTTGGAAAATCATTCTTCAACATAGCCACACTACACTACATCGCCATACTTTATACCTCACTACATTACACCGCTCTACATTACACCGCACGATACATCTATCCCTCGTCAACTAAACTTTTATTATGAATTCATTTAAATTTCAAGCATGTTTAAAAAGTTGTAGATCGCAACACCAACATTGAAATACATGGACCCATTAATTTTAGAACCTACAATTTGCTGCAGTTCAAGCGAAAAAAGACAAAAAAATATTTCTAAGATGATCATGAAGATAAACTTTAGTCGTCCAATATTTTCTTAATGCAAAGATTTGAAACTTTCAGCCACAGATAATTGCTACGTCGTGTTTTGAAATGTCTGCGTGCGTGTTTTAACGTGCATGTCTCATTGAGTGGATTGGTGAATTATTTGTGCGTAGTTTTGCATGTTGGCGTTGTCAAGCGAGTTACTTTATTAATTATTAAACAAATAATAAAAAACGCACATATATTTACACACACAAAAACCACACAATATGTATGTTATTGATGAAAATCAAAGCATGATCCGCGTTAGTTAACTTCCTGTTTAATTTTTCGATCTTTCTGTCGGTAGATCATAAATCATTGTCGAGCATCTTCAGTTTAAAATAAAAATTTTTTTTATTTTATGCATGATAGAACATTTAAGCATGATAGAACAAAAACCTTTTTTTGGTATTCCTATGCCATCTTCGGTGTTTGAATTGATACGTTGTGATGTGGGCCAAATACTCAAGTATTGTTATATATATATATATATATATATATATATATATATATATATATATATATATATATATATATATAATGATGGGTCTCAACCATGTTAATTCTTTTAACATTGTAGCCCAAGATTTGTCTAATAATTTTAGTTTTTTTGTTTCTCTTTTATGTGATTCTTTATAGCGCCAGTTTGTATGTGCATTTGTGCATCGTGAGTCTTCTCGATAACATGGTCGTCGTCATACCAATATATTTAGAATTATGATGCCCACACTCACCAATATTACGTTTGAACAAATATATTAGATGGCTATGACCCATTACCGATTCTGGTTTACTAGTTGTTTTTCATCACAAGAGATGACGTTCTTTGATTGGTGGAGTAGTATATTCGTAGTTTAATATTATCGTTCTCGTTGATTGCTTGGACGTTATTTTTTAAGATTCTTTTCATAATTTTTTCGTCCTTTTCGAAAGCAGTTGACATATGATTCTTATAATATATTTATTATATATATGTTATATATATATATATATATATATAT